GCTAGACGATGCCTTCACAAATTTCTGCCAATGAAATGATTAGCCTGTTGCAGTTGTATTCTATCAGTTGTCACTAATTACAACTATCATTTACCAAAAATCAGCTATCACTATGAACAACTTCTAACCAGATTTACTTGGAGGCCGTCGTCAGTTGTGGTGTTTGGTCTGCACCCGACACTTTCTCGCTTTTTGAAAGGGAGGTTATAATAAACTCAATTCGTAATTGAAGAAGACCTGTAGTGATAACAGCGATTGACCATTGCACCAGCACCAAAAAGTAAACCACTTGAATTGAACTAAAAGCCGGATCTCGAGCTTATATAGAGGCGATTGAATAGGTCACAAGTTCAGACAGGTGCAAACATGTTCTCACTTTCATTCAATGTTATCTTCAATTGAGTACAAGTTTTGACAAGAATGCGCAAAGAGGCGAGAGCCTGCTGTAGAGCAGAGACTGCGGAATTCTGAGCCTAAAAGCAGCAAAGTATAAACGGTCATGATTTTTGATAAGTTTGCAACCGAATCTCGGAAAAATCCGAACTGGGAGAGTCCGCCTTTCATCCATTGATTTTCCGAAGTGATAAGAATTTCAAGCGCGGCGGGTTATCGTGTTTACCGCTAATGTTTGTGTGTACCTCTTCGAAAGCGATAAGGCTGTTCAAAGATTTTCAGGCTGAAGAACCCTTTAGAACTTTATGAAATATGCCGTCCGATGACGATTTCTGTTCCCCAAAACCTCCAATTCCAATTCCGGCTGCGCCACGGTAAACTTGCGTTTCTAGAGAAACATAGGGGTCCTAACTCATATATTTTCTTTTCAGACGACCAGAGAAGAAAGGCGATGTCCAGTCAATTCCCATTGTCTCTGTGGCGGGTTCAACACTATACTCTGAATTTTGTGGTGTGAAAACTGGTGAGCGCTACCTACTTCCTTTTTCTGACGATTCAGTCGGCGTTAATGACTCTTCTACAAGTCTGTTTGGCGCTATGCCGTTAGGGGGGACATTCAGAACAGGAGTACTTGGAAACCGCTGGTAGGTGAAACTAGGACTAAGCCCAGGAGAGGGGAGAAGTGTCAGGCAGAACAGAACTTGCTCACATCCACTTCCAGGAGCCCTTCTCCTCCTCGAAGCTTATTCCCAATTACTCCAAGTGGCTCACCTACTGGCCGATGTCAGACTTTGCGATTGGAGCGATTTGTGCACCAATTGCAGGAGCGACGGGAGATTTACACGGCCGACCACCGATAATTCGGCGCCATCAGCTCGTAAATGTCCCGTCGCTCGCAGCTCCCTGCCACAACGGCCAAGGCACTTATCATGGCCCGAGCCATGATAAGTACCTACAATTTGCAGGAGCGATGGATCGCTCAAGCGATCCGTCGCTCCTGCAATTTGTGCACAATCGCTCCAATCGCAAAGTCTGACATCGGCCATTACGCCCACGATGGCGTGATTTACGGGCCTTTTCCCATTCCCTTTTTCCATTCAATAAGTAGATATTTCTTTCAATACTACTGGTTTAGATCGCAAGTCATTGTCAATGATTTCAGAAACAGCGTCAGGATCAGGCATACAGTCAAGCGAATGCTGTGCTGTTTGCTCGAAGAACCTTTCACATCTAAACGACATCAGAAAGTGAGTACTTCGATGAGTTCACAGTCTATTGTTCTTGGAATGATCTATTTTTTTCTTCTTTTCCCTACCGTCCATCTGCTTGGCTCCCTTTACACTTACGTCAAGTGATGTGGGGAATCAATAATCAGTATAAGGGATTATTGAAAGCTTTTCCTGGGTTAGTATGGGATTCGCTCGAGATGTGTCCTGGTTTCCGGAAACAAGGGTGATCTCAGCATTGTATACCTACTTGGCGTTCCCAACAGGTAGGTATATCTTATTTCCTTGCACCATCTCTATCTAATAACTTCGTATAGCTGAAACTCGTGCCTATCGCGCGACGATCTCAACACCAAGAAATCCCTCCATTTAATAAGGAAAGAATGTAGGATGAAACAGCTATATGGGTATAACCCACCCTCGAACGCCTGTCGACCCTTCTGCAAAAATGTTCATAAAACAATCATATTGACTGTCCTTAAAATGCTTAACGCTAACGATCTTCTGCGATAAACCTCCTTCTTCTTTCTTGCTGTCCTTTCTGCTAATACCAGCGGCCATAAACAGCATGTTGTTTCTCAGAAGGTTGCTCAGGAAATAATGTTGATGCTACAGAATCATCGCAAATCATGCCAAAAGCCAAAACAAAAGGACAACCAGCTAATAGACTGTCCCATGTGTGGGGAGCCACAACCTCCTGGACCTGTAAGTTCTGACAGTAGATTTTAGTGGATTCTACGTAGCCATGACAGTTTTTTTTTACCGCCAGTAATACAACGTCCATCATTCACGACATCCATTGAAGGCCTTCTTTAAGCATGATGCGCTCATGCGAAGCGAATCCAAAACATACCAATATTGTCCAAGAGTTACCAGCGCTATGAAACTCCAGTCGCCATTCTCGGATGTAAGAAACGAAACTGGATACTCCACCAAAGAACTAGTTTATTGACTTGTTCTCTCTCGAAGGGCATCCGGATAACACTTTCAGGGCACCCATTCCCCAAAAGAAAGAGGTACTACCGCCGAAGTTAAAAGGTGAGCCGAAGTCGTTACTCGATGAAAACATCCAGCTTGCAAAAGCGCTCTCGGCAAGCTTGGATTTCACAGTCCTTTGATCCAGTTCATGACAGTTCGCCACAGTTCACAAGGTAGGTGATTTTTTGTAAATCGTCTAATTTTGGCTAGATCGTGAACTGAGAGGGGCTTGGTAAGACAGCAGCTGTAGTGATTGTTCTTCAAGACCCCTGGATATTGCGCTTTACGAACTTTTTCGTTAAGTGAGAGATGTTTAGTCCGGCATTTCACTCGCTTCGCTCTGTTCCTTCGAGGCACAACTTGCAAACTATGTTACAGAATCATCGACGATGCTAATGAGAGAAGACGCAAGCGGCCGCGATCTTATGCCGTTGTGGAACTGGCCCCACGATCCTGTAGGTGCGAGGTGATGGCTTAATAGTACTAATCCTTGTAGAAATAATGAAGTTATTTGTACAAGAAATGCGCCAGATATTTGTTGGTCTTAGGTATGCAAAAATTTTTGTGTTAGTCTTGAGCATACAGAAGTTTTTATCCGTTACCAGTTAAACTCTGGTCGATTGATTCAATTGTTTAGCGGCTTACCGTATTTTTTTTTCGAATTGTGTTTTTTTTTTACAATTTCGCTGAAATAGCACCTTCATATTTTTAAGTTACTTTGGTCGGTTAGCTGGTAATAGAGCTGGTTTGTGACCGGTGAATGATATCCTGTTATTTCAGGTGATTCAAAAAGTACAAAATCGTTTTCTGGAGACGTTCCGTGTTCGCAAGACCAACGGAGCAACTTTGTCTCATACGGAGTTCTGCAAGCGTCGAGCTGCTCGTACTAGTGTGTTCATGCAGAATCAGACCCGTCTCTTGCAAAAGGTATGATAAATTACGCTGATTACCGAGGACGCTGTTTTAATGGTATTTTTTTTTGCATGAGCCACTGAGCAGGAATTCACACGCTCTCAAAAAACTCATCACTGCTATTAAAAAGCCTGGCTGATGCCCTTTTCTCTAGTGGAATCTTTTTTGGAGTACTACTCTTTTCTTTACACACATAACTGAAGGATAACGCTGCTTCTAATCCTAATTATTTTTGATTAGAAAAATGTATCAAATATGTTGAAAATTTTATTTGATCATATTTCTGAATCCTGATTCTTTCCCGTGATACTTTTTTCGCTAGCAACGAATGAGAAATTCATGTCCGTTCAATGCGTTTCAGTTGGAGCGTTTGGAACGGCTCTCACAAGACCTGAATTGTCTGGTTGGCCAGGAAGAAACGTCGGACGTGCGCATACAATGTACAGATGGTGGGTTATTATCTCATATCTCCTACATCTAGAGCTACTCTCCAAAATGTCCAGACTTGGTTTTCTTCTCCCTCAATGAACCCTGATTCTTCCGCGCAAATTAATGAGAAAAGTAGAAACTTGGAAGGATGAGTCAAACGCTGGCTTACACCTTTTTCGGATGACACATCTAGTTATATCCCTCAATCTAAATTTATTGATCCTAGGAAATATTTGTGCGCATCGGTTATTACTTCGCTTACGGACGAGACTTTTGGGCTGTTCTAATTCCCAAATAAATTCTATGAACATCCAACTCAATGAAAACCAGAAAGTAGGTTCGGATTTAAGGCTTGAATTTTTCGCTTATTCACATGTTTTTGTTATAAAAATGAGAACGGCATTCAGATTGTCCTAATGTGGTTGCGCTATGTGTACACTGGTCGCGTAGAATGGGACACGGAGGATACAGAAAACATTTGCAAATTAGCAGAGATGTATGGACCAGGTACCAAACTCAGGAGTTACACTAGTATTGTTTCGATCACGTCCATTCCTAGATGACTTGCCATCTTTGTGCATGCGCATGCGTGCTCCTTCGAGAGCAGTAGAGCT